AGTTGGCAGAGCAAAGTACAATTAAGTAAAATGATGAGTTTTAGATGTGGGATAGCAATGCATTATAACTAAATATATTTAAAGTAGACCTTCACATATTGGTTATTTCAATTTTATTTTAAATGAAGCGGAAGCAATGATTGATGCTTATGTTATTAGCTAACATTAAATGCATTATATTCACCTTAATGTGATAAATGTGTTTGCAGGCAAAATTAAAATAAATTGAAAATATCTATAACCTGTTCAGACATAAGTCCAAATTTTACTTTAAGGAACAGTAACAGCAGAATTTTTTCTGAGTTTTGAAAAAAAAAATCTCTGACACCACTAGGGCCTGGTGAATGATATTTTAAGTACTCTTATAACTCAGAAAGAGATAAATGGATATGCTATGGAGTTTGCACAAATTCAGGAGGAGAGTGAGGGATGAAGGGATTCAGAGTAGAGAGAGTGATTTGGTCTACAAAGCCTTAGATGTAAACACTTTGGGCCAAGAAATAATTTCTAGGAAACTGGGATGAGTTGGCATATGAATAGATATTTATAAAACATCTATCTTTTATGCTTTTGAGAGCTTCTATTACATTTGCCAAAGAAAGAAATAGTAAGAATATCAAAAGAAAAGCTAACTTCAAAAATACTATCCCAACAACTATGTAAACCTCTGAAGAACTTGAAAAATAAAGATCAGTTGCGCTAGGGTTCAGAATGTTAACGCTTTCAATTGTGGTCAGTCCTTACTTTGATTCTTGGGTCTAGTTTTATGACTTAGAGCGTCTCTCTTCTTATTTAAATGGAGTCCAATTTATTTTAGCTCAAGATTCTGTCTTTTAAAATCTCATCCTGAACTTCTCAGAAAACCCAAAGGTCATGTTTACAGAATAGATGCACAGCAGGATTAAATAAATGTGGAACTGCTTGAGCTGCAGGCCTTCTTTTTTATTCTATCAGAGATGCCGTTAATCTTCAGATGATTATTTTTGCAATATAAAATATATACCCTGGATTATGAAAACTAATTCCCCACCTGACACACTCATAAACAGTTTTGTAAGAGCTAATTTTAGAGCATTCCCAGCTTTTTCATTTCATCATAAGAGACATTTTACACTTTAAAAAATTCTCCAGTGCCTCTCAAAACCCTCTTACAAGCAAACACTCCTCCACAATACACACCAATAAATGCAACGAGTTTTGCATACTGTGGAAAAGAGAAGAGCCATGCTGTTTATTAGCTTTTCTTGCTTTAACTAGTGGATGATAAGAGGATTGTCATGAAAAATTGATAATGTAAGATGATAAGGCCAAAAAAGAAAAATAAAAAAGAGAGACAACAGCAAATTGGACCAAAGAAATAAATTGCACTATCAATCACAGTATTTGATAGATTTAAATTTAACTGAGAGTCATAATCACACTCTTCTTGGCCCTTACATTTCACAAAGTGGCCTTTCTGTATGCTAAGTTATGTCAGCAGGGATTCATCTTAACAGTAATACTTCTTTTTTTTTTAACAGTAATACTTCTTGTTTATGGAACTCTCTGTAGTTCATAAAACATTTTCATATTATTACTATTTCACTTGCTTCACACTATAACCCAGTGAGATAGATGAATTAGGAATTACTGCCTATATGTTATAGCTTAGTAAAAAAGATCAGACTATAGTTATACTCCTAAGCAGTTTTGTGGTCAGAACTACTGATGCAATGTACTTTTCTCCATACCAGACTTCGACTCAAAACACACATAAGCACAAGAGTGCATGTGCACACACACACACACACACACACACGTAATATTTAAAAGAAAAAAAATTTCCAAAGAAATTTTCCTCCTATGAAAACTGCTATTATTTTTCGAGAATCCTCTTCTTTCTTTGAAATGGTTTAAAATACATAGGTGCTATTTAAGTTAACAAATATAACTAGTGTTTTTGAAAATGATAGTTTTTTAAATCATAGAAATATTTCACTTTAAGCAAATAGAAGATCTAAAAATTCAGTTTGCTGGGGAGAGGAATTAGAGGATTATATTGTTTTACAAAAAGACTCTGAATGGGATTGCTTTAAATAGCAAAATTCCCCAGAACATTTAAGATATGTTGATTTATGAAAATCTGATTCATACAGAACTTTACAGGAATACATCTGTTATATAAATCCGTGTTCACCTGTAATTTACTCTAGGGGGAACAACTGAGTGATAATAATAATAACACACTCATATACTTCTTCGTTATATATTTTAAAGTGCTTTCTCCTAATTTATTGCATTTGTCTTTGGCAACCTTATAAGGGAGGCAGAGAGGGTATTATTATCCTTTCTTTACAGATGAGAAATTGAGAGGTTAAGTGACTTGCCCAGGGTCAGACAGACTATTCATTCATTTACTGCCATTTGAGTGATGTAGTTTTAACGGGTTAGTCAAGGAAGTAAGGTTCTTCCTCCTAATTTTTTTAAGCAGCTGTGAAGGCTATTAAAACAGAGGTGGATGATCTCACAAATATAATGTTGAACGAAAGAAGCCAGACACAAAAGTGTACATATTGTATGATTCTATTAATATAAAATGCAAATGCAGGCAGAATTAATCTGTGGTGGCAGAAGTCAGAATGGTGGTGAACTTAGGGAAGAGGCAGATGGTGACTGGAGGGGAAAGGGGGGTTTCTGGGATATGCTAATATTTTACTTCTTGCTCCAGTTTGTGGTTCCATAGTTATGCTCACTGTGAAAAGTCATTAAGATGTATACTTGTGATTTGTTTACTTTTCTTTACATATATTATGGAGGTTTTCTTTTAAAAAAGAGTTTTATATCTTTAAAAACAATACAGCACTTTAAAAGATCATTACATTACACATATCCTTTGAATGTTTGTGATTTCAATTAAGTTTCTTAGCTGCATTCTGGAAAAGAGCATATGAACTAAATCAGAAGAGTTTAAAGATAAGTAAAAGTTTATAAACACACACACACACACACACACACACACACACACACACACACACACAAAACATTCAGGATCATCTTTACCTGAAAAGTTGCTATATGAAATGAGAAATCAAAACAAATGAAGATAATCACATAATTCATTTAGGACCAGTGAAACATTTATATTTAATGACATTAAGTTAGGAGTTGTAGAGACGTGACATTAAATTGTGATTCACGTGGTATATTCTAGAGTATATGCATGAATTTAAGGAAGATAAGATTTTAATTTTCTAAAAATCCACTTTATTTTAAAATTCGGTTTACTAGGATTCTGCATTGGGCATCAAGGTAGAAAGCCAATGTCAATGATAAAAATCTGAGGAGAATGCACATACCTTGGGACAAACATGGGCTCCTATGAATACCAAATAGCTTTCAATGTAAGAATGTTTGGGAGAACTGTTTTGACCATCATCTAGGACAGAAATTACAGCTGCACTCAGTTGCTTAATGCAGTTTCAAAATTTATATTGTAGTTTCCTAAGAATCCTTCACTCCATGTGACCCTGTTACCCTGAGAACTAATGCTGCACTTGTACCCCAAACTACCACTGATGACATGTGTTTTATTTAATTTTCACATACTATGTTTTTTGTTGTTTTTCTTTCATTTTATTTTCTTTTAAAATAATCCATTATAGTACCCGCACCTTCAAGTCATCTGAATCAAGTCTCTTTCTTGATATCATAGGTTGGGAACAAAGAATTTCCAAGTGGTTGGGGGGAATCAGACTCCATTTCAGGGTGCTTTCCTTTCACCAGGGATGTTTCAAAGCCAACTCCACCAAGGCTAGGACTATGGCTTGGTGAGTTTCTCCCCAGGAGAGCTGTTGAAAGACATCCTGTTCAGGGAGTAGCCTTTAACCTTCAACCCATTCACACATTTGTTTTAATTCCTGACCAACTGCTGTATTCCTGTGTGTTAGTTGCACTAGGACCTAGCTAATTAATTTTTAAAAATAAATGTTAGACCCTAAACACCTGTAAGCTGCGTGCTACAAATTGTGTATAAGGTACACAATCAAACTTATTGTGATCACTGCACCCAGGACAAGTGTAAAACATAGCTGTCCTCTGGAATCTAGGTTATTAGAATGTCAGCCTGTGTTCCCCAATATTATTCATGTCATAAAATAGGTCAGAAATGTGGCTCCAGAGATAGGAAGGAAGAGACAAGAGGCGGCAGTTGAAGGAATTCTACTCTTCAAGGCTCAGCAAGCTGCCCCAACTTCTCTCTCACTGGCAAAGGATAAACAAATAATGAGGAATGGGACATGCATGTCTATGGGCAAGTTCCTGTGGAAACATTTCATGATCTTTTTTAATGACAGGGATCAAGAAGGCACAACTGTTTCCTTCTGGGTGGACCCATTCAACAACAAAACTTCTTGGATCCCTGTGGAATGCTCACTATATTAATTCACAATTAGTCACATTCCTTTGAATGTGATTTTTGAAAACTCATTCCTTTGAAACTCATTCCTATTAAGCTAATATGCATATCTCTGAATTTAGCATTTGAATAAAGCAAATTCTATCTTTTGACCTTCCTCATTTCTCCCAACTAAAATCTTCCACTTTTTCCACTGGGTTAGTTCTGTGGATGTGTTGTCCTGTGACCTTTATCATATAATAGGCCACATTCCTTTTTCACTTTTACTGATTTACACTCTTTTTGTTAAAGGTCATACGATGGGAATCCCTGGGTGGTGCAGCGGTTTAGCGCCTGCCTTTGGCCCAGGGCGCGATCCTGGGGACCCGGGATCGAGTCCCACGCGATCCTGGAGACCAGGGATCGAGTCCCACGTCGGGCTCCCGGTGCATGGAGCCTGCTTCTCCCTCTGCCTGTGTCTCTGCCTCTCTCTCTATCATAAATAAATAAAAATTAAAAAAAAAAAGGTCGTACGATGATACATTTGTTACGCATAATCTGGACCACAGTTTCGAATAATTTGAACTTCCATTATTTTTAGTATAGAAAAAGAAATTGAGATACTTGCCATCAAGCCTTGCTCTCCTGGTTTCCCTGGTTCACCCTTAAAAAAGAATAGTGATAGTTTTTATTAATGCTATAAACATTAAAAAGCAATTTCAACCTTTCTTTTTTCTTTTTCATAATATCCACTGGGGTGCATGAATGTTAAATATACTTTTCAGGCTAAGTAGAGAAATGCAAACATAATGCAATGAAAAGAGAGCCAAGTTCTTTCTTCAAATTCACTTTATAAACATTTTAGGATTTAATAAAATGAGTCTAGATTATAGCAGAGACTTAAGAATTATGCCAAGAATGTGTTCTAAATAAAACTAGTAGGAGTGATTATATGGTAAGTCAATAAATGGTTCTAGAAAATTTAATTGTTATTTCAGTAACATCTCATTTATTATGTTCTGTTTATGATGACATAAAGATGATGACCTGGGCCTCCTTATGAGAACTCAGAACTTCCATATACAGGACAGAGAGACAACTACTCTTAGTACAGAAATTAAATAATAAAATGAGCAAAGATTGATTTTGAATTTTGGTTTTTCAGGATTAATGAGGGCAGAAGTAACATGTTTAAAATTAACAGTATACATTAAAATACACAGAATTCTGTGCTGTATCATACCACTGTCATAGTTTTCTAGTACCCAGATTCATACAAAATTCCTTATAATGTTGTCATATTATTATATTGTTAGTCATTGGCAACAGACATTTTTTGGAAAAACCATTCTTGTAATGTCAATATCTACAGAAATTGTTGGACTTTAAAAATAAGTATTTCTGTTTGTTATAAAACATTTTTCTAGTGCTTACAATGGTATATAAAAATTAACTTCAGGACTATAAATCTGGTTCAATTTCTCTGTGGAATTAAAAAAAAAAAAAACCCTGTTCATACTTTTGTGTAAAAATCTCTATTTTTTACTCTGATGACTAAGCTATATTTATTTAAAGGATGACATACTTTTAAATTATTTACAGGTTGTCATCATACCTTACTTTTATCTAATTTCTTGAAAATAATCTATACCTTGAATTTTCTGCAGAGTATACCCAATGAACGGACTGATTTTGTACCATCAGAATGGTTTTAACTGTTCTTCTTAGTTGAGGAAACATTCATTGTATCTTCCTTGGCAACCAGCAATTATTTGGGGAGCTTTAAATATCCCTAAAGGTGTGCTGTCTCTATCGTTTGGGATATCATCCCAAGAAAAAGTGAAACCTTCGAAGACAGTTTCAAGATGAAACCACTACTTTTGATGGTTCAGTGAAAGTCTTCCTAAGCGACTAACAAATCATAGGTTGAGAGTCAATCTCTCATTTCATATGACAAATTTACAGCCATTTTCAAGAAAGGGAAATGGAGTTTACAAGAAAGTTGTCTCAGGAAAGTCAGAAAAGAGTACCCTATAGTCTTACAAAGAGAATGACTCTGAAAAATATAATGGATATAAAATATATGTAAATATATGGATATATGAATGAAATATATCAAAACATTGATTATTTTTTAATTTTTTATTCTTTAATTTAAAAAAACATTCTACTTTGTTGGATATTTTCATTATTTTGTGCTATGAAAACACTCATGAAAATAAGTCAAAGCAATAGATAAATAAATTAATTCATCAGTAAATTGGAATTTCAAGTCCTAGGGCCACAGTATAAAAGTAAATTTAGTGTCTTATACTTCTGTATTATGGACATTTAATCCATCTTAGTAACTAAGTACTGAGATCTAAGTATTGAGATTGTTTTTAAATCATTTCTATTAACAAGCTTCACATATAAAGGACAAATGATACTCAAACCATACTGTTTTATTAGCAATTTTTTTTCTTTTTTTTGGTCAATTTATTTATAAGGGAGTGAACTTTAAAAAGTTTTTATTTCATTTTCCTCTTTCATTTTCCATTAAATTAAATTAAATTCCATTAAATTTCCATTTCATTTCATTTCCTCTTTCATTTTCCATTAAGTCATGTGGAACTTTATTGTCTCTGCCATTGATACTTTGGAGAATGTTACCAATCTCTCACCTAGCTATTCTCCCAGACATTGATGTACTCCTGTTGCCTTCTCCAAGTCTCTCTTTGGGTTAATGAGGGTTCCCCATGGATTAAGCCGTAAAGCAGAATTATGTGGGTAGTGCCCTCTCTGCTTGGGGACTATCACCCCACTTTCTGAAACCTCTTAACCCTATGGCCCCTCTTTACCACACTCCATCTCAGTTCTCAGCCCTTAAAAGCCCTTAAAAGGATCAGACCCAACATGTAACTCACAGGCACTCCTGGCATTCCACGGGGGCCATCTTTCCCTGTGTCCCCTGGAGGCCCTCTTGGGCCAGGGGGCCCTGGAGGTCCTGGAGGCCCAGCCTGTCCTTGGTCACCCTAGAATGAAGAAAGGAAAAGACCAACAATGACCATGAAAAATAAAGACCCAGGTCTTCTTTTCAACACTTTAAATTTGTATTATCTAATCCACATTTACACTTATGAAAAGAACCAGAACAATCAGAAACATGAAGCCTGTAGGCAATTTGCCTGCCAGCAGGGAGCAAATAAATATTCATGCTGGGTGAGCTGAGTAGATGCTATTAAAATCAAAGCAGCTCAGGAACCAGCACTCTCAGCTCTTGGAAATAGTTGTAAGTTATCATGATATTCAGAGCTGGTGTAAAACTTTTGTATAACTTGATTCATGACAATGCTGCATCAGTTACAGCGACCTTGTTTCATAAAATGGCTGCATCTGTAGTTGGACAAATGTGTTTACTTTTTCATAACCTATAAAATTAAACATACAAGCTCTTGTCAAACTGTATAATAATTTATAAATTACCAAAACCAGAGAGCTTAGAAACTGGGTCTATTACTGGATATAATTTCAGCTGCCTTTCTTTTTTTAATTAAGAAAAACTTAGGCATTCTATACCTTTTTACTTTGGTACTTCCATATCCATTTTCAAGCAAATGCAGCTCCCTAGACATCTTTTTGCTCTAGGATATTTCCAAATAAATACCCCCACCCATTAGAGACAAATGGTAAAGCAACAGTAAATGGAGTAATACTGAATGTTAAGAAGAAATCAGACTTGAGCAAGAATAAGCACTACCTTAATGAGGCGGCGTTTAATGAGCTGCTGATCAGCAGAGAGAAACCCATGATTGATTTTAGGAAACACCATCTGATCAGTCAGGTGAGGTCAAAGGTTGAAGTTCAGAGGTGAGAGAATTGGAGAATAGACATCAGAAGGCCCCAAGAAAGAAATAAAGATATACACATTAGACTTATAATGATCATTAAACAAAATGGAACTGGTGTTTGTGTCTGACATCAGACTGTCTGGCTCTTCTTGAAAGAAAGATAATCCTAAAACGGGATGGCCAGGCCAGATTTTTAGTTAGAGAGGAAACTTTTTTGTATCCCATCCTTTTGATGTGGGTGTTAGGCCTCTTTAATATTGTCTGTTAAAGAAGCAGGAAAGCTCCCATCACCTGCATCCTGCACATTGAGCAGAAAGTCTAGAGACAAAGCACCAGTTCAATTTCTGTCAGACTTGTCAACCAGCATAATGTGGCATGAACGTGACTTCCATTTTACAAACACCCCAAGTCCAGAATACTTAGGATTATCTAATTGACCAAAAAATGTCACAGTTTTGGCATGCATTCAAATTAAACCATAGAGATATGGCACAGTCCTAGATAGCCATGCTGCCTCTCTTCATTATCCTTGCTCGACTTCAACATCCTTCTCTCTTATATGTTCAAGATTCTCCTTCTCAATAGATATTTGACCTCGTTGATGTAGGTGAGGTCCCAAGGATCCAATAACTCAATGCATTTGGTGAATGGGAACAACTGGACTTGGCAAGCCAACTTAGCTGTTCTTGCTCACTCTTATGCTGATTGCGGGCTCTGACTGAGTAGCATGGGTGCCAACCACAAACCTTGACGGTGAGGATCTGATTACTGTGCAGAGCAGCAACTGTGGGGAAGCCTGGCAGACCCTAAGGACATGGGACAGCACCAAAACAACACGACACAAAACGTCACACAGACATTCCACTGATGGACAAACAGAACAAGAATGTATCTAATGCCACCCTGTCCTCACTCTAAGTCTTGACTTGTTTGACATACTGTACAGGAAATCAGACACACTATAATCTCCCTCCATTGATAGTCTGTTTACAACTCAGGACAGACACGTATTACATTTTTTTTGGACAACAGTGAACAGAATTTTGCAGTCTGATCATAAATATTCCTCAGAATAAATGCACTCTGCCTCACAAAAGATAGTCTTACCACCCACATATCAAAATTTCTCTCTCCAATCATAAGAAGATTCTCAGGTCTTTTCTGTTTCAGGAATTCCTGCAGAGGAGGTGGATGGAAATCTGTCTCTTATAACATGCGTATTTTATGTCAGAGGGATTTATGGTCACACTCTGCAGTAATCACTTCTGTCACATAATTTTTCCAAAAGAACTTGACAGTTCACACAACCCCTTGAAGCAGAGAAGTGGTTTTGAATTCCTTAACCAGGAAAAACAGGGGAAAGATGTTTTAGAGGCTGGTACTTCACTAACTTGTACTAACTCATGTTCATAAGCATTATCAGTTGGGTAGATCTGAGAGAGAACTTGCACTTTTTCAACAACACGAGATATTGGAGCCTTTTATTCCAATCTTTTTTCACACAGAACATGTTTATCATACAAATAAAATAAACAGCAACCACAGCTTACATGGCCTCAGGTGTTTACAAGCTTCCTAGACATTCCCTCCTCATTGCCCTTCCCCTCTTCCACCCAAATCTATTCTGAGAATATTTTTAGTAAAGGTCAGTAAGTTTCTAGTTTTTCAATTTTATTAATCATGGCATATTTTTCTCCTTCTTATTTTCTCCTTATTTGGGATTTATTTTTCTTTTTAAGAGAACCAATAAAATTATGTTTTGGTATGAAGAGATCTCTTTAGCCCTAATGCTTTTGATTTGCATTCTTTAAGCCTGGGACTTTTCAGGAAGCAAAGTAGAGGAAATCTTATCTGTTTTGCCAAATCCTTTCTGATAAGGCTATTCAGTGTCTAGGTAATTTTGAGGTGACCTGTATCCTCTTTTTCTTCTAAGTAAAAGTCCTTGAAACATAGACGCTACCCAAATTCAGAAATTCTACAAGTTGGAAAACAGATGTGTACAATTTGCTTTTGTTTTACTATGGAATATGAGTTTAAAATGTTATTAGATGGTAATGTGCCAGCATCTTCCCATCTGTGACTCATTAGCCCTATATTACACAGTCAGAATTTTATATATAAATCTCATATTTATGTAACAAAGAACAAAAACAGATACAAACAAGAAGTCTACGAGAGATCAGGATCTTGACTAGTGGCGATAAATCATAATGTCACTTTGAACAGGATTATCTAACAAAAATAATTTAAAATTAAAAGCTTTTTAACAGCACACATGGTAGGCCTTACAAATGTTTTGAAATTTGAATGTGTAAATAATTCACTTCTTGTACTCATATCTGAGCATGACCAGCTTGTTGTTTGATCATATTTTCTAAATGTTCACAAAAAGCATTAGTTTTATAACTTCTTAGTTTGGTTTCCAGTGTTAACGAGATCTAAAGAGGGAAGTGAATAGGTAATTCTCTCTTCAGACAGATCCTTTTTATCAAACAGAAAATCTCTATTTGAGGAAGCTGATTTTATATTCTTCAATCATCTTAACTGCAGAAAATGCTACCAATTAGGTGCTTAGAGCTACATTTTAAAGATTTTATTAGTGAGCTAGGCAAAAGGACTTCAGAAGCTTATATGTAGCAGAGTACAAAGAGACATGTGGAAGAATTCTCTTAAATTCTAACAAAAAGCCCATGGCCTGGGGTGCAATATCATAAGACCATAAGACCATGTGCTTTTCAAACCGGGATAATGCTTAAAGGGTACATGCCATTGTTGAGGGGTGGTGGTGGTGGATAAGGGTTACTTTAGGCAGTAATAAATATGGCATATCTTCCTTAAGATTCAAGTTTGATTAATGTTAAATAATTTTAAATATTTTTATGTACAAACATTGTCATATTATGGGATAAAATGCAAAATTTACACAAATTTTTAAAAATTTTACTGTTTGATGGTGGTAGAGAACCTCATCTCACAGGGGATACCTCTAGATTATAGGTAGATACTGAATTGACCCTCTCCTTCCCACAAAAAGTCTTTGAAGAAAAAGTTTGAAAAGTACTGGTGCTGAATACTTACCTATAAGTCATGGCTTTATGTGGCCATAACAGTTAGGCTTCCTGGGCTGTTCACACAGAGTGTACTTTTTTGTTAACTATGCCATTTTTTTCCCCACAGTATCATTAGTCATAGTCCTTTCTAAATAAATGAAATGGACATATTTCACTTGGTTTTGCATCTTGGAAAACTTGCCTGGTACACAGATGGTTCAACTGGTTATGGGAAAAAAATGTGACTCCAGGAAAACATGGAGAAAAAGTCCAGGAATAAGCTGAATTGCTGAAATAATGTGTTCAATACTCACTACCAAATATTTAGAATTCTTAAGAAATTGGATGTATGAGAGTGTAAAACTACCTTACACAACCCATTTCCTCTTCAGAGCCTACTCAGACTACTTCACAAATCTTCCAAACATTCACTGAAGTAGGTTACCATTTTCTACCAGTGTTTTGACATCATTATAGGAGGAGCTCTATGTCCCTTCATTACCTTCTAGAAACAGAGGCAAGCCTACCCCAAAGAAATGATGAAAAAATAAATATTTCATAAAATATGCTTCTAACTACTTAGAAGCCATAAATTCAAGATGCTATTATTTATTGTATACTCAGTAATGGTATTATATGATTACATTATAGTGAGAAAACTTCGTGTTTTGTCAAAAGCATTCTATAAGGCAATGTTAGAGCCAGGAATTTAATACACAACTTCTAATTCCAGACTTTGTCATCATACAGTTTATGTGTTTATAATTTCTTTCTACTTTTACAGTTTGAATATTGGAAATATCAACAATATATAAAAAGTATTTGTTGAGTGCCTTCTGTGCAGCATTCACTGTGCTAGGTATGGGGATTGAATGGTGAGCCTGACCACAAGCTCACAGGGGTCAACGTCTACTGGAGAAATAGGAAAAAATAAGCACGCAGTAATCACATGGAGAAATGACTATTTTGATGAAGGAGACGAGCTACAAAGTAAATAAAAGTATACCTAATGGTAGGTTCAAGGAACCCTGGAAGACTTCCCAAGCCACGTGAATGAGGGAATGGGGGTTTGTATAGCAAGAGGAATAATAAAGACAGACACCCTATCTACTTACAATAGTCTAGTTGAGGACTGTACCCAAGAACTAGAAAGGGACAAATCTATAGTTTCAAGTAATATTAAGAAGGTAAGATTCACAAGACTTGTAGTCTGGCTGAAAACGTAAGGGAGAAGGAGGGGAAGTGAGTGGTCCGAGCGATGGAGGATGGTAGAGGAAACACTAGAAAAGAATGGGTTTTCTGGAGCAGTTAGGTATGGATGATGATTTCAGTTAGGGATCTGTTGAATTTGAGGTGTCCATGAAGAACAAAGGCATGGCTGTTAGATATGCATATAAGAAGTCAGGAGATAGGTGGGAATCACAAGTCTTACCTCCTGAAGTCATGTAAGGAGACTCTAGAGAGAGCAGATATAGAAGACAACTCTTGGAAAGACTTCCATTTAAGGGATGAGTAGAGGAAGAAGCAATTACAAAGAGATATAATAAAATGTGTTTGTAGAAGCAGGAGGAATGCTAACTCACCTCATAAAAATTCTTTTTTTTTTCATAAAAATCCTATACAGGCAAATCACTCATTAATGAAAACTGCATTATTAATTGTACTGTATAAATAAATGCACATGAACTGAAGTCCTCTACTCACCGTTGCACTGACAGGTAATCTAGGCGTTAAAAATGGCCAATGCCACCAACAGTGGATACTCACTGATATGTACAGGGGAGTGTATCTGAGGTTGTAGAGGTATGGAGGAAAAAATTAAACTATATTTTAAACATAAAGGTGGACCAGGAGCCTTCCAATCATATTGGAAGAAAAAATATGTTATGCTGAGAAATGAAAATCCCTTAGTTTCTCCATAATGTAAATAGTATCATGATTCTTCTAGCCCCAAATATATAATGCACTATAACATTACCATTACAGTGGGTATGTGCACAGCATAAATAAAGATGAATATTCCAAGAAGTCGATAAAATGATTTCTAGCTAAGAGAGACCAGATGGGGAAATATTGTAATAGGATGCAAAAATATTTAGGTAAAAGAATAACTTTAGCTTAACAGCAGGAATCCTTAGGAAACAAACTGGGAAAGAAAAGAAATTAAGAGAAAGGAATTTGCTGCTAAATCATTTCATAATGCAGTAGATGGTATAATTTGTCTGAATAGAAAAATCAACTACATGAAGCTAAATAGCCAACAGAACCCTTTAAATAATCAAATACCATGAACTTATGAAAATCAGAATTTACAACCAATGGAAAAAGATTGGCTTATGGAAATATTAATTATGGGAAGAACTAGCTTCCGAAGTTGAATATAATACTGGATCAAAACGTTAATTTTTCTTTTTTATAGATACCCTAAGTTCCATTCTATTGAGTTCTATCATAAATGTTAATCCTAGTCACTCCAGGAATTATACATATATTTTAACATATAAATGATACATCTGAATTTGAAGATTATTTAGAAGAAAGTGAGAACAATACAATCTATACATTGACAAAAGTCATTAAATACTGTAGCTACTAAAATGCTAAGTAAAGACACACTGCAAAAGATCTGTGAATAAGAAGAAAGATGGTAGATACACTTCAGCACTGGCAAGTGTAAAGTACAGGAAAAATTTCCTAAACTACACATACTGAAAAAGATTCTATTTGTTATGTATGATCTCATAAGAGATTCCAGG